GGGGGGGGGGGGGGGGGGGGGGGGCTGCAGGTGAGGGAGCATAAGAGGGGATCATTAGCGTGGGGGCAGGGAGAATAGCAGAATAAGGGCTAGGGAGTGGGAGGTTTGGGGGTCATGGGGAAAGGGATGGAGGCTGTCCTGAGTGAGAGGCAGTGCGGTCTAGTGGCTAAAGCACTGGGTTGGGAGACTTGAGTTCTATTCTTGAGTCTCCCACAGTTCTGCCTCTGGTAAGTCCCAGCCCCCCCGCTTGGTGCCTCAGTTTCCTCATCTGTAAAATGGGGATAATGTGACTGCCCTCCCTAGCTCTTCACTAGACAGGCTGGTGTGCACCGTGCTGGGTGACTGGGTGGGCTAAGAGAATGGGCACCAGGTGCAGCCCAAGTGGCAATCCGGGAAAGGGCCCAGGGTGCAGGGGGTGCTCAGTAGGGTACAGGGTGTGTTGGGGGAGGGGGTTACAGGCGGAGGAACGAGAACAGGGAGCCAGAAGTAGAAGCCTCGTGACTGAGTCATTCTAGTAAAACCCTTGGCACTGGCCCATGTGAGCAATTCCACCTTAAGAGGTGCCCGCCTGGGCCCCACCCCACCCCCTGCAGCAGGCAGGCTGGGCCAGGACTGGGACTGAAGCTGGCTCTTTGGTGGATGAGCTGGCTGGGTCCTCGGGCTCCGTTCATTGCTTGGTTACTCTCCGAGTCGGCACAGAGCAGGGGGCAGGCTGGGCTGGAACAATGGCTGGCATCCAGCCGCTGGGGCAGGAGGTTCACTGGTGACGGGGCCACGGGCGCTCCAGGGCGCAGACCGATTCCGGGGGGCAGGTGGATGGATCTGCCCAGAGGGGAGGCACCAGGGCACGGCCCATGCTGGGAACCTCCGACCTGCCTCCATGAGCTGCCAGCCACGTCCTCCTCCTCCGGCAGCAGCTCTCTCCATCTTCCCTCCTTTGGCCTAAACCCCTTCCCCTCTGTTTTAGTTCCCCCTCCACCAGTACCACCTCTGCCAAAGAAAGTCCTGCCTTCCTCCGGGGCCGGAGAACGAAGCCACACTACAAATGGGCTTGGGCCACCAGAAGAGGGGAAGAGCTCAGCAGAAGTTACCACCCATCATGTGGACGGACCTGGTGTTCCACCTCCCCCCATGCCAGCCGCCGCTGGAAGGTACGGCTCAGGTATAACCCCCATCCCTGGCAAGCCTGAATGATTGCAAAGGACCTTACAGGTAAACCGTGTGTGTGTGCATAGATATCGAAATGCAGCCTCCTCTGGGGTGGGACACTGGAGCTGTTTAACAGTGCACAGCTATTGTATAGCACAGGGGAGCGAAGAAGAGCATTGCATCCACCTCGAAGCGTGGGGCTGGGCAGCTGCTGGAGGAGCCAGCCGAAGTCAGGCTCTGCTCGCATCTGGGTGTGATGTCAGGGCACAGACACAGCTGAGATTAACAGGGAGCAGGAAGCGCCTTCCCTGGGCCGTGGCACTCACACGTCTGAGAAGAGGGATTTAAAAATAACCCACCCAAATGGCTTCCTTCGAGGGGAGCTGGCACCAGGCCTGGCTGAGAGCCTGGGTTCTGGGCAAAGATGGGCAATGTTCAGCGTTCCTCTTTAATTCCAGACCTCCCACTGGTGAAGGCAAGAGAAGCCTGGAGATCAGCTGGGCCCCCGGGGCAGGTGGCAGACTCCTCTGGTAGGGGGCACAGGACGGGCAGGCGGAAAGAGAGAAAGAAGCTAGCGCCGCGGGCCACGGGCCCCATCCTTGAACACAGGAGAGGAGGAACAGGGTCTTCTCCAACCAGCTGCAGCACTTCAAAGACTCCTGCAGAGGCCCTGTCTGCTCCACAGGTGCCCAGGGATGCAGCCAGCAGGGAGAAGCCCAAGCTCAGGAAGATCTTGGTCGACCTTCGCCCCGTCCTGGAGAACGTTATGGAGCCCTGGGACTCTTGGGAGGGGCGTTCAGAGACGAGGAGCGTCCGTAGCGCTGGGAGCTCTCCCCGGGAGCGCGGACAGCCCAGCAGGGGAGGCCGCGACAACAGAGGTGGAGCCAGCGCCGTAGAAGATCAGACTCACCGGGTCCCCTCTCTGCCTCCCATAGCAGCCCAGCCCACGGGGCAGGAGCCGCACCTTAGCCAGGCGCCGGCTCCGAGAGACGGCGCGCTCGCCCACCGGGCTGCGGCGAGGCGGGAGCCCCCAGCTCCAGTGTCCTTTCCGAAGATAAGCCTCCAGCCGGAGCCAACGGAGCAGCTGCCGCCCCCCGAGCGGAGCAGCTCGGCAGAGATGGTGAGTGCCAGCGCCTGCTGCTCCCTCCGCTCTGCCCTGTGGCCACCAGCCCCAGAAGACCAGGCCCAGCCAAACAAAGCCCTGCAGCAATTCGTACCAAGCCCAGGCATGCCATTTTCCACAAGGAAGGGATGAACGAAGGGGCCTTAAAAGGAGCAGTGGGGGGTGCCCCCAACCTCCCCCCAACACAAACACACTGGATCTGCTTAGGGATGTTGGAACGCGGCCACCATGGGGCCTCCGGCTGCAGTGAGGCCCTGCAGGGGTGAGGTGGGGGTGCACATCTTACAGGGCTTGCTTCTCCCTCCCTTTTTCTCACCCAGGCTGGAGCTGGCAGCCTGCTGAGGCCAGAGCGCTCCCCAGACATCCAGCTCCCCACCCGCCTGCTCCTGCAGCGACTCCAGGAGACCACGACCAGCCAGAACCACCAGCTGATCGCGCAGGCGCTGCAGTCTCTGCGCAAGGAGCTGCAGGGGGAAGCGCCTGCCTCGCCCAGCGAGTAAGTGAACCCCACGGAGAGGTCAAACCCAGCGCTGGCTGCTCTCGGCCAGCCCCCTGCAGCGCCCCAGATCCTGCATCTCGGCTGGGGCCAGGGGAGGCGGAACAGAAGGGAGAGCACAGGGCTGGGGATCAGGGAAAACTCCAGCAGCCAGTGACAGTAACCCTCTGCCCATCTCTCCTACCTTCCACCCCGGGATCTCAGAGGGTTTTGCAGACACTCAGCTAAGCCTCACCCCGGGGGTAGCTAGCGCCAGACCCAGTTTACTGAGGGGGACGGGACTTGCCCAAGCTCACTCAGCAAGTCCAGACCAGGAATAGAACCCAGGAGTCCTGGCTCCCACTCCCCTGCGCTAGTCACTAGACCCCACGCTGTGATTGCCCAGAGAACTGCATGCAAGCCCTAAGTGAGGGTCTCCTGCCTGGGCACATGGAGAGGGGCTCCCTTACCCTTAGCACCAAACTGCTCCCATGGGGAGATAACACACAGCTGGGGGGGGGGGGGGCTAGGCAAGGACCAGGCTTCCACCCCAGCACCAAGGGGCCGAGCCCAGCTAGCATGACCGCACTGTCTCCTTGCAGAGGGGAGAGGTGGCGTTTGCTCCGAGAGCCTACGCTGACCAGGAAGGATGGCAGGAACAGGAAGGCCGTGGGGCTGCATCCTGCAGCTGCAGAAAGGAGACTGGTGAAGCTCACCTGGAAGACAGGCAGGTGAGCCACTGGGACAGCCGCGGGGGGTGTCTTCCTTCTCAGCCATGCTGGCTCCCGTGGGTCCTCCAAGCCACCCTCCTTCCAGCCCCATATCCCTCTGCAGGGACCACCGTGTACCCCTCATCCTACCCCTGCAGACCATGGCATCCTGAGACTCAATCCCGTAACCGGGCCAGGGAGCTGGAGAAGGAACATAAGGGTAGGGAACCTGCCTTCAGCAGGTCCCAGAGTAAGGCGAGGCAGAGGGATACCACCTTGGCTGGCAGGTCAGGTGTGTGCCAGCAGGTCCCAACACACTCCAACTTTCCCAAATACCACAAAGGCTCGATGCATCCGGAGCACAATGAACTCAGGCCTCTGACATGCCAGCCCCGGACAACAGCTGTATTGCTACCCTGGCAGCGAGATCATTGTCCTTTTCAAGCCAACGTGATGGTGTCCTAGGAACCGGACAATCCAGCGCAGGCAGGTCTGTAGCCGCAGCGAGACAGGGAGGGGGCAGTGGGGTTTGGCAAAGGGCCCCTGCAGGAGAATGAGATGGGGCAGAGCCAGCAACCACAGGACATTCCTGCCTGGACAGGATCTGCGCCCCCCCGCCGAGCCCAGTCCAGCCAGAGGATAGGGCCAAAACAAGACCAGTCACATTCCCCGAGCTAGGGGAGCAGTTCCCCGGTGCTGGCACGTACCATGCAGACACCCATGAAGCCCAAAAATGCCTCTAGCCCCATCAGCATGCACGATCCCCTGCGTCTGGGCTGTCATGAAGGCATCTCCCCGGAGGCTAAGGAGTGTGGTGCCATCCCGTGGCCCCAGACTGCCTCAGGGGATGGAGGTATCCACCATAGGGTCCAGGGAGCTTTCCTGTGAGTCGGAGGTGTTTTGGGCCAGGGACACTTGCTCACTAGGACCTGGACTAAGGCCTCCAGCTCCCTCTGTTTCCTCGTTCCTGGCATCGCCTCCCCCCTTCTCTTCCAGCCCCATTGCTGGCAACGCCAGGGAGGCAGCCTGCCCCCAAATCCACCGCTGACAGCCCCACGCCGAGAGCAGCTTCAGCCATGCAAACCTGCTCCGTCCCACGTCAGAGCAGCACCGCCCTGCTGGAGGAGAACACAGCGAGCCCAGCGCAGAGCCAGAGAAGATCCGGGGGAAGATCCAGGATTCAGCGGTTGCTGGATCAGTTGGCCCCAAGACGGACACTTCTCACCCAGCACAGGCCCCTTTGGGCCAGCTCCTGAACCTCTGGCCACAGTGAAGGAGCCAGAGGTTCCTAGACCCACACGGCCAGGAAGACCCCAGCTCTACACCAAGGACTGGCCTTCCCCCACTGCTGCCTGGCCTGACACTCTGCCTGATTGGCCCTGGCCTTCTTACTCCACCCCGGCCACCTGTGGGATAGCTCTGCCGGGAGTTAACCCCCTGCTGGCCGGTGATCTGTAGCCGTTGGATGGTGGTCCGCTCCTGTGCGCCCCCATTCCCCAGTGAGGACCAAGCGGGATGTGTGCGTGACGGGGACCGAAATGCAAAGGCCACCTCTCTGAACCAGAGAAAAAGAAGTCTGTTGGTTCCATGGGGTGTAATTAACCTGTGGAACTCGCTGCAGGTATAGAGAAGAGAATCCAATGGTTAGAGGTGGGGGGAGCAGTCAGGACTCCTGGGTTCTGTCCCAGCGACCACAGGCAAATCGCTTCTCCTTGGGTCACAATTTGCCCTTCTGCCCAATAAAGGATATTAAACACAGGGCCTGGGGGGTTAATTCTTTGCAGGGTAATGAAAACCTTCCGCTAGAAGATGCTATCTTACATTAGGCCCCTATGCACTAGGGCAGCAGGTGGGTTAGGAACTCTTAGCGGGTGGCTAGCACCTGGGAGACTTGACTGCAATTCCCAGCTCTCCCAGTGACCTTGGACAAGTGGCTGAGGGCCTGATTTGTAACCCTGGCCCTCAGTTCCCATCTGTGCTGGGGGGTTTACAGCCCTGCCCGGCCTCGCAAAGGGGGTAGCGAGGATAAATACACTCAAGATTGGCAGCTACTCAGAGACGGTGGAAACAGGGCTGGCTAAGGGCCCTAGATCACAGAACAGGGGAGGAAAGAGAGAGACAAAGGACTAGCTGGAGAACGCCCAGCTAGAATCATTCCACCCACAGGCTGGGGGTTATTGTGTGCGTATATTTAATTCGCTTCGTATTTCACGTGAATCTTCACAGACTCTGCTCTATAAATACCAGAAAACAGACCAGCTACGTGAGAGAGCCCAGCCCCAGTGCCCTCAGGAGTGCCCGGGCAGAGCGGACCAGGTGTGGGGGCAGGCGCACGCCTCTTTAGGGCCTGGGCCAGCGTTGTGTGGAGAGGCATCGGCTCAGGTGTCTGTAACAGTCGGTTGAGTCGCGGCGATGCCCCAGCCCGGCCTAACGCCCGGGGCACAAACGCCAGAGTACGTGGTCAGCGGCCATTGCCCGCTTCTTGGACCCTTGGGAGAAGAGGCTGGCCATTGCCACGGCAACATGGTCACTGGCCTGGGCCATTTTAAAAGGGGAGAATACAATACTCAGATGGTGGGTGGGGCTGGTGGTGAGAGTGGGCGGAGTCTGTGGTAGGGCAGCACCCGGGCCGAGGGGAGCATGCGACATCGTCCTTGGGGAGGGGAGGTCAGTGCCTCGTTAGTGAGGGATGGACAGAAAAGCAGGCGGCCTTGGAGAGGAGGCGGGTATCAGCTGTTCTCTCCTCCAAAGGGGGAGAAGGTGAAGACTGGCTGAGCGAGGGCAGCTGCCCCTCCAGGGAAGGTGCCAGGAATCAGGGACCAACTCCCGATCATTGAGATCTTCACCACTGATGCCACCAAGAGCCAAGATCTGGCCCATGAACAGCCAGGAGGGGAGGTGGCTGGGGAGCCTCGGAGCTCGCAGACCTCCCCGCCTAGGGACAGCGCAGGCTCCAGGCAGGGGCATAGCATCTAGCGCCCTCATGCTGGGAGAGTGACTCGGTCCGAGGAAGGAGTAACACAAGGGGATGTTCCCATGGGAGGCCCCCAGTGGATGCAGCATGCTAAGGGGCAGGGCAGAAAGGAGGGGCTCACGGCCCAGGCAGATGAAGGAGTGTTACCGACGGGCTCCCAGCCAAGGCCCCGTGGGAGGAGGGATGGTAGCTGCAGCATGGGGAACGGAGGGAAAATGGAGCACCCTCCCCAGGAAGAGAGGGGATCCCTGAGATCACACTGCTGGCGAGGGCCTTGCAGTCACTGGGGGTGGGGGCAGCCCCACAGCCTGTTCAAACAGCAGAATGTAGTGAAGGGTGGGGGGGGATGACCAAGGACCCCACAGGGTCCAGCTAAGCTCCCCCTTTGTGCGTCCGAGCGGCTGGGTTTAATGGGGGTAGGTCTCTGAGACAGGCCCCCTAGGCCCTACCCTGGGGAGGAAGTGCACAGAACTGGGCAGGGCAAGGGGTGAAATCCCCCCTGGCCCACTCAGAACTGGGGCAGGACCCAGTACAGACACCAAGCGAGAGCTGCACGTGCAGCAAGGAGCCGGTCACAGGAGCCCGATGGGCCCAGCCTGGGATTCAAACTCCGGGCAGAGGTGGGCACTGGAGCCCTGGGAGTGCAGGAGCCAGATCCCACCTCCTCCTTGCCACTTAAGGCATAAGGAGCCCAGCCCACCCCTTGCTCCCTGGGTGGGGGGTGACTCACAGGAAAGCTCCCTGCACCCTAGGGTGGGGGCTTGGCAGGAGCTGCTCCCGGAGGGCACCGTGGAGTTGGGCACTACCCCCTCTGCGCTGTTGATTCAGGTTTAAGGGGCTCTGCGGTGCTCCCCTGGGGGGACAGCCATGGACGTGGGGCAAGGACCATCAGCTGGGGGCCTCTGCCCCCTACGAGCAATGGGTGTTTTATTGATTCAGGTTTAGGGGTAGGTGGGGCTTTCCCTCCACTCCTCCTTGCTCCAAGCAGGAGGAGCCCTGGTGCTATAAGGGAAGCCCCCCCGCACCAGATTTTGCCTGCACTCCTGGGCAGGGGAGGGTCTCAGACGGCACTCTCCTGGTAGCTGTCGTCCTCCAGGAAGTGGGTGATCCTCTTCCAGGGTCCAGGGGGCTCGGGCTCAGACGGGGGCGCCAAGTCCGGCAGGGGCTCGTCGTCGCTTTGGTCCTTGGCGAAGTGAACAAACACCTGGCGGGGAAGGGACGAAAGCAAGAGTCAGGCAGGGCGACAGGCAGGCTGGCCTACTAGTCACAGCCTTGGACTCATGAATTGAGTAGCGTCTGGTTCACCATGGACCTCCACTCTCCAGGCTGAACCGAATGCTAATGAAGGACTGTGAGAATTCAGAAAGAGAAAAGTAACAGAAAAAGGTAAACAGCAGGCCGGGTAGGGGACGGGACTAGCTGGAGGGGCACGTCGAAAGTTTGCTGTGGTGCATTTGGGGGACGAAGAGGACACCCTGGTATCCTTCCCCGAGTAGGTAAATGCACAGTGAATTTGCTACATGACAGGGGGGTCTCAAGCAGGCTCGGCTGAAAATGCTGGAGAGAAATTTGGGTGAGAGACACTTCTTTAAATGGGAGGAGATCCAGCTAGTTAAGCGGAGGCTCTAGAAAACGGGGTAGGATTTCGTGTTCTATGTAACCCTTCGTTTCCAATATTCTCACCCGCTCTCACTCGAATCTCTGCTCTTTGGTCGTGCACTTAGCCTGGGTTTCACTGTCAATACATGGACGTGTGGAGCATTTGCAGAGCTGCATCCCAGGCCATCGCTAGTGAGCTGGCGTGTGCCGGCTGTGGGAATGCCCAGAGGGTTCGGTGGACGAGGGGCTGGACTCAGCAGGGAAGGCTCTGAGGGCTCGGCTGTGCCTATCGCTAAGCCGTACAGAGGGAGCAAGGCCGGAGGGGGCCTGGGAGGCAGGACTGGCGTTACCAGTGGTTGGTAGTTTCAGGGCGCTGACCCACGGCAGACACAGACAAGACACCTCATGCTAAGGGCAGGTGGGGGTGAGGCGCCTCACAAAGCTGAGAACCCCTGGGGAACATCCCAGCTGTTGGGAAGACGCTCTCCCAGGTGGTGTCCCAGCTGGCACCTATGGGGTTAAGAGGACAGTCCCTTACACTCAAGATATGAGAAACATCCATTTATTTGATCCTGGTCCACAGGGGGGCGCTGCAAACCCCAAGGCTGGAGGAGAGGGGCAGAGATCGGGCCCTGGCCTCACCTGGTCCAGTGTGGTTTGGGACACGGAGTAGTCCTCAATGCGGTAGGTGCCCCTGTGAGCGGACAAGATGCTGAAGATCTTGGCCAGGGAGCAGCTCCGAGAGGGAAGCTGGTATTGCAGCATGCAGTGGTGTCTCTCTTTGAGGACGATGCCGGGGAAGGAGTCCTGGATGAAAGTCTCCACGGGCCGCAGGTCCGGGCTGGGGCCCGACACCCGCAACGTGATCGTGTAGCCGTCGCCGAACCTACGGCAAACAGGCAGGAGGGTCTGCTCGCGCACACGCCGGGGACCGACAGCTCCGGAGAGCGGCTCCAGGGGTTAGCACGGCGGGAAGCTCTCTGAGCTCCAGCCACCCGGGGGGACTTACCCCAGCCAGGGAGGGGAACAGGAGGTTTGGGAGAGGAGAGGCAGATGCACTGACCCCCTGCTGGAGTCCTCTGGTTCAGCCGCAGATCGGGAGCAGCAGGGAATTTCCCGCCCCACACGCGGGCCTCGACCCTGACCCATGGCCCATTCGTTCCCTGGCCACCGGGCTAGGGGCAATCAGTGCTAATAGCGATGGTGGTGTCTTGCAATCAGGACCACTAGGGGACTGGACCGAGACCACCAGACTCATTTCAGGGACTGCCAGATGGCGGTAACTTGCGCATGCTAACGCCCTAGGCTGGATTCGAACCGGCGCCCTAGAGGTGAGCCCTCCCCAGCCAATGCCCAAGGTGCTGGGACTGCCAGCTCCCTGAGGAGGATTCATTAGGGGGAGCGGGGGGTGGATTCAGCTCCTTCCTTCCCTGCCTCAGGAAAGCGACACCGGCATGAACATTCCCTCTCCACCCCGCCAAGGTCTCTGCAACGTTCCCAGCACAGGTGGGTCCCTAGCAGGCCACCCGCTCCGCGCCGGCTTTCCCGGAGAGATGCCGCCGAGTTACCTGTTCTTCAGGTGCTGCACGCTGCCCAGGCAGCGGAACCGGCCGTTCACCATGATGGCCATGCGGGTGCACAGGGCTTCGCACTCCTCCATGCTGCCCAGAGGGAAGAGGTGATGGCGTGAGCGCCCCCGACTCAGCACCCCCCACACTTCTCCCCTGCCCAACAGCCCCCCGTGTTTGCTTCCACTGGGCCCTTCCCTGGCGGGGGTGTGTGTGTCAGTTTATCCCTGCCAGGGAGTGGGAGAGCAGCAGCACCCCCGCTGCAAACCCCTGGCTCAGCCACAGATCAGGGGCAGCAGCACTGGCTTCCCTGCCCCTCCCCCATGCCTCAGCTCTGCCCCCCACCCTGTGCATGGCACAAGGGGAATCACTGCAAAAGGGCGGATTGACGGCTACTCGCCTGCGTTGGGGTGGGGTGGGCTAGTTACTGATCCCCAGGGACAAGCAGCTCAGGCCTTTCCCTTACCTGTGGGAGGTGAGCACCACGGACCTGCCCTCTTTGATCACGCTGAGGATACAGTTCCACAGGAACCGCCTGGCTCGCGGGTCCATCCCCGTGGTCGGCTCGTCCTGCAACGAGCCCCGAAAGCAGCTCTGGGTCAGGCCTGGCCCTG